TCCAAGGAGAAGAGGGGCTTGAATCCATCGCCGTTACAGGAGCAGAGGTCCAAGCCGGGGAGGAGGTGGCATCCCAGGGAGCAGCGGGGCAGAGGGGACGTGCGGGGAGCTGGGAACAAGCCCTGGCTTGTGCCCACAGCATGCAGGGCTACCGCTCTGCTTTTCGGGATGAAAAATGAACAAACCCCAATGCCAGCTGTTAAAAATACACGCTGATATTTGCACACTCGCCGTGCAATACAGCAAAATATGCACACACGCACTTGGAAATGGTTGGATGGTGCTTGGGATCCTGTTTTTAACAAAATCTAGCTCGTGGTTTTTTTTTTTCCCCACAACCACCAAGTCATTGGTATGAATGTTCCCTGGGTGAGGCTGAAAATAGATGAAGAACTGCTGGCTTTGGGGTCAAAACAAGGGGAAAAAGGCAAATAAAAGAGGTAAAGGACCATAGGGAAGGCGCCTTGCTAAAAATAAGCTTGAATTCTGAAGCCCAGCATAAATATTTTTCTTTCTTTGCCATAACATCGCCTGGCGGGCTGGGGAGCAAGCAGCCGCTGGTGCAATGGCAAGTTTTAAAGTGAAATATAATTTTTGATCTCTGAAATAAAATAATCCTAATGGGATGCTGCGCGCTCGCGCTTCTGCTGGGAGGGGAAGCATTGCGGGGCTTGCAGCTCGTTTTCCTTCCCAAAAGAGACCGCGAACCCGGGCTGCTCTTCTGCAGCAGAGCCTCTAGAAATGGTTTGGGGGTAGAAAGCAGTTTTAACTATGGTGTTAGTAACCCCTGCGCTTCCTCTCCCTGGGTAGTGCTGCTGGCGTAAACCCAGTGTGATTTTTGTGGCCAAGCAGCGTGTCTTTCCCCCCTGACCTGCCATCCTTTCTGGGGAGAGCCGAGGGCGCTTCAGGAGGATGGATGAAACTTTCTGTACAGCCTGTTCCCGGCCAACTGCACCTTGTGGAGCCCACCCCTCCCCGTGATGAGATTTGCTCGATCACTCGGATTTCCAGCCCGGCCGGCTTTGGAAAGGGTTAAGCAGGAGCCGGTGGGGGCGGCTGGCGTTGGGGAGGGTCCTTGGCTGGGCCCCTGCCCGGGATGTGCTGAGCTCAGCGGTTTTGCAGGGCTGCAGGGGGAGGGGGCTGGGGAGGAGGAGGAGGAGGAGGAAGGGAGGAGATCACGTACCGGGGGCTCAGCGAGTGCCTTGCCGCACGTCGGGCACAAACCGTGCCCCACGTATGCTGAGGGGGATAAATTCCTTCCCCGTGGGGCGGCTGCCACAGCCCATGGTGTAGTCCCCATCTTCACGTTGGTTCCCAGGCCCAAAAAGCCACTTTTAGGTAGATTTACACATTATTTCGGCACACGATCGCCGGCCAGCATTGGCACAGAGGCTGCTGTGATCCTCTGTCCAAGCACTCACGTGGGGAACGTAACGATGGGGCTGAGCTGGGGGGAGGCCGCGGTTTTCGGGGTGTCCCATGGGTGCCTGCAGGGAAGGTGCCCTTTGCACCCTCTCTGGCCCCGTCCTCAGCCAGCGGCTCCCCGCTCGTGGCAGGGGGTGACGGGCACATGAGGGGTGACCCCGCGCATCCTCCGCCACCGCGCCAAGCCCGTGGCCAGCTCAAACAGGCGAGCTGAAGGCCGCGGGCTGGCTGGGATGCCGCGGCAGGTCCCAGCGCGCCGCCGCCCGGGCAAGTCTCTGCTGCAGCCAAACCTTTCGGGCCCGTCTCTCGCCCCCGGGACAGGCAGCTGCAGGCAGGCTGCTGGCCCGCAACGTGCGGGAGTTGGGCAGAGAAACGAGGAACGTGCGTCCGAGGAGGACGGTGGATGGGTTTTGGCAGCTGAGATGCCGAGTGCCGGGTCGGCACCGTGCCCGTTTGCAGGGTGGAGCTGTGAAATTCATCTCCCCTTGGAGGCTTTTGCCCTGTCCCAGGCAAAAGCCGGGAGCGGGTGTTTTGGAGGGGCTGCTGGGGTGCTGCCCCACACTCCCGCATCCTCAGCAGGGGGAGAGGCCCTCCCCGGCCGGGCGTTTTGGCCGGGCGGCAGGGCGAGCGCGTGCCTTGGCGCCGTGGCCGGTGCTGGGGCCATGGCCAGCAGCCCGAGGAGCTGGGGAGGGGAGGCGCGAGCGGGGCCTGTGTGCCGGTACATAACGTTCTGCTGCGAGCACCCACAGGAAAACCAACCAGCAGCTCTGAACAGGGCTCTTTGTTCAGCTTTTTTTTTTTTTTATTTTCCCTCCCTGCATCAACTTTTGCTCGCAGCTGACGGGCTCCCTTCCCCCTGCCGCTCCGCTCCCAGCCGCAGCCTCCAAACAGCCCCCGAGCTGCTCGCCGAGCCCCCGCTGATGCTGCAGAGACCCCCAAGGCGAGGGGGAACAGCGCCTCAAAACCCCGAGGAGCAAGTTACCGCCGGCTCTGCCCCACAGATCTGCAAAGCAGGAACAGGGCAGCTGGGGAGTTTCCATCTGCCAGGGAAAACCTGCGTTTGGAGGAGGGGGAGCACAGGGTTTGGTTTTTTTTTTTTTATTTTACCATGCAGCAATCCCTCTGTTTTTCGCCGCCTTACATAAAGTGTTTACTGAGCGGGAGGAGGGAATGGCCAACAACATGTTTTTGCATCTGTAGTACTGTACAGGGTGAACTTTTCACTTCCTCTCAATGGCTCTCGCACATGTGTCTATTTTGGTGCTGGGCGCACATACAAACAAGCCATGTACGGCACGGAGCCGTTCCCTGCTCTGTCCAGCCGCCAGCCCGGCACGCCGCCGAGAAACTGCTGGAAAAACAAGGGATGGGAGGAGGGCGAGGGGGTGGAGGGGGCTGCCCTGGGGAAATCTGTTTCGGATCCTTCGGCACACACCAGGCTTGTGGGGAGATCTGGGCAACGCTTGGGCGCTGCATCCCATCGGCGGAGCCGCAGGGGCCGGCCCCCCCGCGGCCCCCGCGGGG